TGTGTGGGTTTTTTGGTTTGGGTTTTTTTTTTTTATGGTTGGACTTAATGATCTCAAAGGTCCCTTCCAACCATGATGATTCTGTTTTTTCCTCAGACTGTAATAAGTAACAAGCAGCAAGGATTAAATGGTTTTGGGTGGCTGCAGGAAGACACTAAGTTTCAGCCAGCTTTCTTCAATGACCAGGTAGCTCAGTGCCACCAGCTGCAGCTCCTGAAGGACTGCCAGGACAATGGCTTCGTTGCACTGTGGCTTGCAGTGCTCTGGCAGTGCTCAGACAGTCATTGCCAATATTAGAGCACAAGTCTTGTGAGGAGAGGCTGAGGGAGCTGGGGGTGTTCAGCCTGAAGAAAAGGAGGCTGAGGGGAGACCTTCTTGCTCTCTCCAACTCCCTGAAAGGAGGGTGTAGCCAGGGGGGGTCGGTCTCTTCTCCCAAGTCACATGTGACAGGACTAGATGAAATGGCCTCTAGTTGTGCCAGGGGAGGTTCAGGTTGGATATAAGGAAAAATTTTTACAGTGAAAGGGTTCTCAGGCATTGGAATGGGCTGCCCAGGGAAGTGGTTGAGGCACCATCCCTGGAGGTGTTCAAAAGATGGGTTGACATGGTGCTGGGGCGCATGGTTTAGTGATGGTTTGTCAGAGTGGGGTTGACGGTTGGACTAGATGATCTTGAAGGTCCCTTCCAACCTAGATGATTCTATGATTCTATTCTATGATAAAATGTCAGCAAGCAGGGCTGGCTGTGGGGTTTCTGTCAGCACTGAGGAGCCTGAGCCCGAGCCCCGAGTGCTTCAGGAGCCTGAGTTTCCATCAGCGGAACCCCTGGGTGAGCAGCACCCCAGGGGGGTCAGGGAAAAGCGATAGGGCTGGGAAAAGCCTGAAAGGATGCAGGGTGTGGGGCAGCCACCATGGAGGAGACGAGCAGCGGGACAGCCACATGGCCAGGGGTCAGCTCAACTGCACACCTTGGTCTTCTCTGCACCCCGCTGTTGCCCCAGGTCCCATCCCTTGGCCTCACACTAGCATTTTTTGGTGCCCTCTGCACCATCTGCTGTAGCCCATATTTAATCCTGCTGTGCCTTGCAGTAACCTCCCTGCTCCCTCCCTGCACCCCTAGCACTCAGGAAGAGGGACGCAATGGACCAAGGCAGCTTCCCAGCGAGCAGCCCCGCACCCAGGCCAGAGGAGCCATCCTGAGCTGTGCAGTCAGAGCCCGTCCCTGCCCCCTGGCACCCTCACTGCTGCTGTCCCTGAGCCAGGCAGGCTGCTTCGCGCTTTGGAGCGCTCCTGGGCTTATCTTTGTGTCCAAGAAGGTGCTGGTACAAATCCATGCTGAGCAGAGCATGCCTGGTGACAGGTCAGCCCCCAGCTCAGGAGCCCCTGCAAGCTCCTCCTCGAGAGACTCGTCAGCCCCTCAGGAAGCGTTTCCTGAACAGAAGTGCTCAAGGAAGATGATCGATGTCCGTGGATCCGGAGTCTACCAGGACACTGTACCTCGGTGCCAGACAGCAGAGATGTCTATTTTCCCTCTCTTGTGTGAGTTACTCCCTCAGATGGGGAGTTCACTCGGAGGCAGCATCCAGCGCTGTGGGATTTGTCCTGGACAGTCCCTCCAGGGCACAGCAGGCTGCTCTGGTTGAGGACAGTCACAAGTGAGTAAAGACACTACCACCATTCAGAGACCCAGGGGACTGCAGCCACAGCACCGTGTGAGCACACGTGGCCCAGGCGAGTCCTCAACGGCCCAGGCAAGGCAAGGCTGAAGCAGGAGATGGGCTCCAAAAGTGGCCAGCCCCATGCTGGGACACAGGTCCTGCTCCAGACAAGCAGGGAGTGGGGCTGCTCAGCAGCTCCTGGTTGGAATAAGCTGCTTTGAAGGGAATGCTAAGGACCAGGCACTAACTGGATGAGGCCAGGGAGCCATGTCCTCTCTGCCGTGGCCATGCAGGTGGGTCCAGAGCCCCAGATAAATCCCTGTATCACAGGCCATTTGATCCAGAGCAATTCTCCTTAGGATCAAACCCGGATGTGGACTGAGCCCTTCTGGCTACTGTGGCAGGCATACGGAGTGTTTACTCACGGGCAGCACACATGACAAGAGTATTGAAAAATACAACCTGATTTGGAGATTTTGCCCTGATGACTGTGGACTAACAGCCAGTCTGGCTCCCGGACCCTCTCCAAAGAATCCAGCTAAGAGAAGGCCTCGTTTTCCTGACTTCTTTGTGAAGTGCACGAGGAAAAAAAAAAAAAAAAAAAAATCAATGAAGAGGGAAAAAACCCACAGAGATGTGTCTGGAGCACACTTCTGGGCATGAAAAAGAGAAGGTGACCAGGAACCGTCAGTGTGGATTTACCAAGAGGTAACTCCCATCTGATATTCCCGAGGCTTCTCTGACAGAAGGGCCAGAGCCAGGGCTGCGGGGAAAGCAGTGGATGCTGCCCAACCTCAGCTCTCAGAAGTGTCTGCCACAACATTCCTGTGTCCCAGCTGGGAGTTTATTGTCTGGCTGGGTGGAGAACCCAGCTGGGCAATAAAAATCAGGGGATGACTGCAGTGGGTGATATGTGTTGGTCAGTCCTCAGAGCTTTCCCGTTTAACACCTTTATCCATGACCTGGCAGAGGCAACACCACACTTGCTTATAAATTCTGCAGATGGCAACACTTTCCTGCTGCTGGTATCAAGTGACCAGAACCTGCTGAAGATCACTGTGCCCAGACCCCGCCTGCCCAGTCCCTCTCATGACATTTTTGAAACTAGTTTTCTTTACATCAGTTAAACCCTCTCCCTTAAACCCACCTCCTGCTGCAGAGCGCAAACACGTCCCTTCCACGCCACGCAAAGCCCCACCAGTGCAGCAAGTCAGAGGAAGACTCAAGGAAGCTGCCACGTTTTTAACACATGTGAAAAGTGGAGGGGCAATAAGAGCCCCCAAACCCAAAGGGAGGTCTCAGGCCCAGGAGGCTGCACAGCGGGGTGGCAGGGAGACACCCTGCAGGGCACGATGTGCAGCCCTGGCATTTCGGTGACCACTGCTGGTAGAGACCCCTCACGCTGCCAGGAGAGGGGTCCCCAGGCCAAGCCCTGCTCCTGGCAGAGGCTACCGCATACTTTACATTGGAAGCACTCCTCTGTTCAGTGGTCAGTTCAGTAAAATGAGTTTTAAATAAATATACCCTCTCTCACCCTTAGCCCTATGATCAACCTGCTGCATTTTTAGCTTGGAAATATCATCTCTTTCCCATTCCTTTTGGAGACAGATATAGCTGAAAAAAATGTGTATTATGAATCTTTTCAGTCCTGAAAGACTCAAATTGTAGTATTAAAATTCATCTTTTCTCCACAGGGTATTTTGAGCATTTTGCTGTAATCAAGAGAAGCACAGACTTTAACGAGGCAAACAAAATCCCCTCCCAGATCAGCCGCTCCATTTCTTAGTCACATTCCCACCAACTCTTCTACATCAGTATTTTCAATTAACACAAAATAGAGAGGAATGCTTCTAATACAGAAGCTGCAGCAAGACAGGAAAAATTTCCCTCCGACCCCCAAGGAAAATATTCAGATTATTTCTGACTTGTTCAGAGAGAAAAAAAAAGTATTTCCCCAATGCAAGTAAATAAGAACTTGGGGACTTACGCTACATGAGAGGTCATTAAAAGAACAGATAAATATCATTTACCACTTTCTATACCCTAATGCACTGTATTGCACAAGTCATCCTCAAAACAGCTCCACCAGAAGTTCAAAAAGGAGGCGATTTTCCCTGATAATGAAACAATGAAAAAAAGAAACCAACACACTCTCCTCTGGAGCGGGGAGGCTCCGAGCACTAAGCGAGCACAGTCCCAACAAGGCAGGTTTCATAGAAAGACAGAAGTGCCGGTTGGAAGGGAGCTCCGGAAGCCCCCGGCCCAGCTTCCCCCGAACCAGCAGGTCAAACCATGGCCTGTCTTATTTCAGAATGAACTGCTGCACAGCCACCCGGACAAAAAAATGCAGAGTAGTAGGTGCCAAAAGTCAGCTCCGTAAGGAAAGTTTTGAAAATAAGTTACCTCCAGGATTGCAAAGAAAAAAAAAAAAGATGAGGAAAGGCTTTTCAGAAACAACGCTGACACTGGCAACCACCCCATGAAAATAAAAATCATTATTTCCAGGGTGCCACTTACCACAGACACTCATCTTCTTGATAACACCTTGGATCTCACATAGCCTGAAATTGACAGAAGAAATTCCTTTGGTAGCCGCTCTTACTGCCCACTGCAATCGTGCCAGCAAGCACAAGGAAGAAAAAAAAAAAAACCCAAAACAACAACTAAATTCCTTTTCAGCTGCTGAGTTTAGTTCTACTAAGACACTCAACTCCCACTGTACAATGATACTGAAAAATTATTGCTGATCCTATAAAACAGAAAAAAAACCTCTTCTTTATCTAGAATTTGAGGGAGAGTGGGTGGGCAGGGAAATAAAATATCTATCTTAGAACTTCAAGAATCTTCCTGCCTTGACAGAGCTTTATCAGAAGATTGCCTTAGACATACTCTATCAGAGTAACCTACCCTATACCTTCAGGAGGTCACCACAGTATAGGGCAGCTGATGTGGATCTACATCTCTTTATCATGTTTTATAATTGCACTGGAACAGGCTAAGTTTATTGTTTTTCAGGGTTTTGGAAAGATGGGAATTTACCATAGACGTTGCACCTTCTCTCGGACAGGAATGCTCTCTTCCAGCCCCACACACAATGCCAGTGCTACCAGCAGAAATGCGTGTGTTCAGTTTGAAGCACTCTGGGACTTTTGTCTCCCGTGGGCCATTCTCTGGGGTTCAGCTACTTTAAAAAAGCACATTCAGCTTACAATTCGCAGTCCTGTAGAGAAACACTACCTTCTAGTAAGAGAGAAAACAGCACAAGAATATGAAGCTTGACCAGTATACAAAATTCTGATGATACTCTAGTCAACCCTAAGGGGAAAAAAAAAATATATACAAATTACTTATACAAAGCAATCTTTATTTTCAAATGCTGCACTGCATAAAATTTATCTGACTGACAACCCTATGCATGGACACAGACCCCTTTCATCCTCCCCACATCACTGTTCACTGTAGCACAATCAGGCCAACTATACATAAAACCATTTAGACCAGAAGAATAACCTATTTGCCACCTATTAATCATTACCTTGTAAGTTAACAGCATTCACCAGGAAAAATCACTCAGAAAAAACATTTCTGTACTTAAATGAAGAAGAGATCAGGCACAGTACAGGGCTGGTCCCATGTGTGGAAGCTGTTGATGCTTTCAGTGCTCTTCACGTTCTTAACCTTGACAAAGAACTACTCTTAAGGCTCTGCTGCTTTTAATACTGTAACTGTCTCTCCCAGAAGGCAAAACAGTGCAGAAAAAAAGAAGGCAGGGGTCCTCCAAGAATGCATGGCCCATATGGCTTTTCATCAAGTAATCATCCTTCTGCATTAACTGTCCTGATGTCTTGCCAACATATACCAATTAATTTTACTACTGATACACATGGTCTTTCCAAACAAGAAGTGTTTTCCATTTTTTGCTCCAACTATGTTTCAGAGAAGTCCCAAATTTCATTCTGTAGCCTAGATCTTGCTGCAAATAATAGTGAAGGCTCTGTAGAGATTTTTGATAACAGGATTTTGCAGAAGTATGGCTGCCCTTCCTATTTGGAAGAAAGGAGGCATGTGGTGACAGGAGGTTGCACTCATATGCTTCTGCTTTAACTGTAGCCAACCTACAGGTGATGTTCACATCAATCTTTGAGGACCTTGCATTTTAGGATCTGTATTTTCTCATGTGTGCAGCAATAGAAGCAGAAATCTCAGTGCTCCTCTTATTCTGGCCATAATAGTCCACAAAGTCGCCATCTGGCCCAAGGAGGTACATTATTATCGTGTGATCCACCTGCAAGAGAGCACATCGTGGCTTGGTAAAAAAGACCATAAAATCATAGAACATCAGTTTGGAAGGAACGTCAAGGATCATATTAACCAACCTTTCTTGGCAAAAGCATGGTCTAGACAAGATGGCCCTGCACCCTGTAGCTGAATCTTAAATGTGTTCAATATTGGGGAATCCACTACTTCCCTGGGGAGATTATTCCAATGGCTGATTGTTCCCATTGTGAAAAATTGGAATCTCCCCAGGATTAACTTGTACCCATTACTCCTCATCTTTTCCATGTTAGACCTTGTAAAAAGGGAGTCTCCATCATCTTTGTGGCCACCCTTTAAATACTGCAACATCCCACACATCTCTCAAAGTCAGCAGCCCCAGCAACCCGTCCAGGCTTTGGCTCAGTGGTCTGACAAGGCTTCTCACCAAGAAGGTAAAGTAAGAGAAGGAAAACCTAAGCACCACCCCACCAACCTCTTCTTGTTTTAGCCAACAAAAGAAATAAAACTAGTTGCATACTCAGAACGTGTGAGGAATGCATAAGCATTAGACAGGTCTTCTGTGCAGCACAGACCAGGCTGGGGCAAACCTGCGGGGTAATGGTCTTTCCCCGCCCACTTTTCCCAGTTTCCCTCTACTTCTCATAAAGCTTCATGACCCCTACAAGGTATTCAAAGCTCCTGCTGCTACTATGACATAAATCTATACAAACAGAAGTATTTTGTTAAACCAAGCCTACTGTCAGTGCAAACACTGGGACTGAGAGCACCACGGGGACACAGGAGCTGGGCAGAAGGAAACACATGTGCTGGGAGGGGGCTCCCTCTACCGTCCGCAGTGAAATAACTTTAAAAAAAGTTCAAAGTAACAATTACTTAATCCTTCAAGGTATTCCAATTTGATTCATGTAAAAACTAACTCCACTGTAGATTTATTTAAAATGCCACTGTAAGTACCGTCTGCATCTAACTGTGACACCATAAGGAAAATCACAAAATAACGAAAATGGAGGTAATGAACCTGCAGCTGCTCAAGTCACTACATCTCCTCACTGCCCCTGAAGAAAAAGAACTGAAATGTACTTATGCAGTGAGAGTACAACTGTGTCTGAAATTAAGAAATCACATAAACATTTCCAGTACCACCAGCTAAAAGTATGCGTTAAACTTAATGGGATTTCTGTCACTGAAAGAACGTTTCTCAAAATTTTATTTAAGAATGTTTAATTCAAGTATTTTAATCTAATTTCAAATGTTCAATTTGGAAATCAAACAACTTAGATCCTTCAACTGGAAACTAGCCAAAAAAAGAAAAACCACCAAAAACCAGATAGCCTGTTCAGAGCATCTTAACTCCCCGGCCTATGGAAGATTAAATACCATCAGGATGGAGTGCAGTTTGTGTGAAAAACACCACTGTTCTTCAAGCTGTGCCTGAAGCCTGTGCTGTTCCCACTTCTATGCACGTACAATCATCATTCAGGTTTCAATGCCATCTTCTAAACCACAGACTAAAACAAGTAAATTGGATATTCTGGTACTGAGAATTATAAAATTGAGATTATTAAATAGGAAGTTGTACTAATCAAGTAATACTTGAAAACTTCAAACACAAGTTTAGAAATTATAATTTCTAAATGCTTATCTCAATGCTCTTTTCAAGCCAGAACGAGCTGCGAAGTTTAACTGGCCATAGTGCCCCTCTTCTTCTTCCCACCTCCCAGCAGCCTGCAAGGAAACAGAACCCGCTCCTGCACCACCGTCAGCCCTAATCACCAACCGGCACAACATAGTGAGAGGGAAAAAAAGCAATGGCAGAGTAGTAATTTCCTGGGTAAGTCTCAGGCAGGCACAAGCCCAGCTTCAAGCTCTCCCTCCCAGGTCTGCTGTTGTGGCTACTGAGCTCCGTGTCGCCTGGCCCTCCTGCCCTGGGCACACAAAGCTCACTGCCTCTCAACCGAGAGCCTGCCACAAGTCCCCAGGAGATGCGGGAACCCTCTTCCTCCTTGGCACCACAGCTGGGGCTCTCGGGCTGCCCTCCTGCTGCCAGCTCACTGGCCTTTCCTCCTCACAGCCCTTCCCTTCTCACGACCCCAGCACAGACCAGCAGTATTCCCACTGGATCCCAAATCCCTTCTCCTACTTCACGACACCTCTAGTCACACTCTCCAGCTTGGTTTCACCCTCCAGCCTCCCACAAAGTTGCTGTCACCTGTTCTCTTCCTTGGCCAAACCCCTTCACAGCCATGCCAGAATCCAGGTGTGGTCTGCTGGAATCCAGGTGTGGTTTACTTCATCAGGAGGAGCACTCCTTCAGCTCTTTGGCTTCTCCCCATCATCTCTCCTCAACCCCAGTTGACTCATTTCGTGTCAGATTCTACTGATTTCTTCCCCTGTCCCAAGCAGGCATCCTCTGCCAATCCTGTTCCTATTACCTATTCTTGCATTTCTGCCAGCTCCCTTTTACAAATCTGATTTTAAGCACTATCTTCAGATTGATGGTTTCCCTTCATGTTGAATTGCTCTAGCAAGCTTCTCTCCTCCATTGAAACACAGTATCTTAGACACAGATGTCAGCAGCTACTGAGTTGTCACTTTAAGTGAAAACAAGTTTTTGATCTCCCACTTCACACCCGTTAGTACCGCAGCTCAGCACACATCACCAGTGTGACTCCACCTTTGCTCTACTGAGATCACCTGCTTTCTTTCTATGTACCACCTTTTTGTTCCACCAATCTTTTTGTCCGCATGGATAATTTTTCAAACCACCTGACTGCAGCAAATAAAACAGATTAAGAATAGGTAATACTGGATCAGACCAAGACCAATTTGCCTCAGCATCCTACCTGAAATAGTGGTGGTTTTAAAGAAAAGTATAAAACCAGCACCAAAAATATGCTCCCTTCATCTATCATCTCCCAGTTTCCAAAACATTTTATCCCACAGACTTCCTGAGTGAGGCAAGCTTTCTGTGTATTTCATAATCATCAACAGACTGCTTTTTCCAAAGACTACCAACAATTCTTCCTGTGGACTCCCATAAACTTCTACTATTGCATCTGAAGTGAGGGATGCCACTTCTCATGTGCCCATTTCCAACAAGAACCATCACCTTTTGAACCTGTTTTTAGTTTTCTCTGATGTCCTTACTTCTTGTAACGATGAAAAAAAAACCTGAAGTTCATATAACATGTATCCGCACTCGTCATATTACCTGTACCTACTTTACTCTTCCAGTCTGGTCAGGATGGGGCAGCAGGAAGGTGTTGGCAGCAGCTGAGCTCTCTGGCCAGTCCTATTCATTTCCAGAGAGCAAGACTTCAACCACTCAGTTTTGCCTCACTTAAACCTCAGTTTCCTCCCCTTCACACCATTACTCTATTTATTTTATTCCCACTTAATTTAGCTTTAACATGCTCTCTTTTCGAGCTCATTTGATGCAGGAGGAAGACCGCTCCAGTATATCTGCACATAGACTTTGCATCACCCAAGCCTCTTGCCAGGAAAACCCCACTCCTTGGTTTCAGTTTGGCAGGGAATGAGTTGTCGCTCAATTTCACCACTCATTTCTCCCTCTTCCTATTGTCTTAATTCCCCATTTCCATTTTCACTCTGGAGCACAAAGGAAAACAGCCAGACAAGAACACTGTACAACAGCAAAAAGTTCAAATGACTGCCAGGCTTGCTGGCTCCCACGCTGCTCTGTGTGCAGGCCTGGGACTGTACATTTTTAAAACGTGTTTCAGTGAGGTTCTGAGCTTGTAAGAGGGCACCTTGATTCTGAGCAAGACCTCTAAAATACAGCTTAACACAGCGGTGCAACAGGGCTCTGTCAAGTAGGACTTCAGCAGATTGCAACAAATGCCTTCTGGTTTTAAAATCTATATTCTGCTCTTATCCAAAGCCTTTCATTAGGCAAAGGCCCTACATTTACTCACTATGTAATCACTGTCTTCATCTTTGGGACCTTCGCTGTAATACACACGGTAAGCTTTGGCCACTTGGTCAATCTGTGCCTTGGTACCAGTCAATCCGATCAGCTTCGGAGAAAATTCTAGACAGAAAGAAGACATTTAGGCATTTTAGTGAAAAGAATCCCATCAAGAGCCTCCTTTTCAGTGCTCTCTATAATGTTCTGTAAGACATGGAGGAAGAAAATAGTAATACCTTTAACATATCTGGCAATGGCTTCTTCGTTGTCCCTCTCAGGATCAATGGTGATGAAGAGTGGGGTCAGGTTAGGCAAAGATGGAATTCTATCTGTGACATTAACAGTTGTTATATTTCTTAGAAAAAGTCATTTCTCACCTCCCTTCAAACAAGCTCACAGCCAAGCTACCGTAACCTCAATCCAAGCCTACCCTACATGACCAAAAAAAGCCAGTTTGTGTAGCCTAATTTACATGGTTTGTGAATGAAGCAAATGCCATGAAATCCAATGCTCTGTGCTTGTGCTGGGTCCTCTCACCTGGAGACCCTGCCCTGCTTAGGGGAGATGACAAATTGGCTCCGATGCAGAAAATGCCGGGGCACGATGTCTTTATCAAAGCATGCTGGCTGATACAACGAAAGCACACCTGTCATGGTGGAGCAGCATAGGCAAAGACACAATTCAGGCTCTTTCCCTCATGTTCCAGCCACAGCCTTCACTGTATTTTCTTCACTTCAGTCCCTGCTTGGTTGCCATTACCCTGCTTCGTAATTCTGCAGGGCCTGCAGGCTGAGAAACCCTCCTCTGTCACACATCCTTCCCTCAACCTCCACTCCACAGCACAGTCGCTCTCAGAAGGGACTCTCACTGACATTTGTTCTCAGAACGTATAGAGGGAAAAACAAAACAAATACACCCCACAGCCACTTCTTGGCAAAAACATAATGCAATGGCACCATTCCCTGTAACCTGCCACTGCCAAATTTTGTTAACAAGAAGTCCCCTGTTATGGAAAGATCTGTCCTGTCTCACTCTAAATATCAGATCCTAGTGATAGACAAACTGATGTATGTATCACTTAGCAATTAATTCAACTATGAAAGAGTAGCCAACAGCATTTGTTTTTAAAAAGATCATCACTTATTATGGTTTGTGATATTTTACCACAGTAAACTGGACCTCCCATGAAAAGGACCACTATGCCAGCTGAATTCCCTTACCAATTTCATCTACCACTTCAATCATTTTCTCCAGTTCATCAGGACAGATGTCCGGGCAGTGTGTGAAGCCGAAGTAGATCAGCACCCACTGGCCAATGTAGTCCTTGTTGGTTCTGGGCTGTCCCTCGTGGCTAACGAGTGAGAAGGGCCCTCCTAGCAGCGGTTTCCCAATGCCTCGGTTCCGTTCCTTCTCCAGCTCTACAAACAACAGGAGGGGATCAAGCACAGCCCTGGCACATCCGTGCTGCTCCCCCGCTGAGCCTCAGGAGCCGCCGCAGAGCCATGGCCGGGGCTTCCAGATCTACCAGTACCCATCCTGCAGAAGCCTAATGGGGACAAGACTTCCAGAAAGCGTTCCATTTTCAGTAAAATCAAATAAATCACTAAATTCTTTTTGGAACATAATAATTTAGTTTATTGTCGAGGGGAGGGGAGGGGAGGAGGAATCTCTCTAGCTTGCTGTTAGACAGAAAAATCAACATCCTTTGCAAGCTGAACTGCAATACTGAATACTTTGCAAACTGTAGCTAAAAGCTAAAAGTATCACTGTGATGTTGCAAAAGACAAAATCAGGACTCAATAGTCGGGATGACTATTAAGCAGGTATCCTTTACTGCAGTGCTAGACACACAGGGAATCGATCCTCCAAATACGCGTGCCAGACAAAGTTAGTTTAACAACAAATATGCACACCACAGAATCACAGGGGTTGGAAGGGACCTCTGGAGAACATCTAGTCTAACTCCCTGCCAAAGCAGGTCCACCCAGAGCAGGTCCTACAGGAATGTATCCAGGTGGGTTTTTAATGTCTCCAGAGAAGGAGACTCTAACACCTCTCTGGGCAGCCTCTTCCAGGGCTCTGTCACCCTCACAGGAAAGAAGTTCCTCCTCATGTTTAGGTGGAACTTCTTATACTCAAGTTTGTGCCCATTTCCTCTTGTCCTATCCATGGACACCACTGAAAACAGACTGGCCCCATCCTCTTGACACCCTCCCTTTGAGTGCTTACAAGCATTGATCAGATGCCCCCTCAGTCTTCTCCAGACTAAAAAGACCCAAGTCCCTCAGCCTCTCCTCGTAAAGGAGATGCTCCAGGCCCCTCATCATTTTCGTAGCCCTTTACTGTCCCCTCTCCAGCAGTTCCCTGTCCATTTTGAACCGGGGAGCCCAGAACTGGATACAGTCCTCCAGACTGGGCCTCACCAGGGCAGAGCAGAGGGGCAGGATAACCTCTCTTGACCTGCTGGTCACATGCTTCTTGATGCACCAGACATACATATTCATGTGAGAACTAATTAACATATTCATTAGTTTCCAATAATTCATTACCATGTGCTACCTCCCTCTTGGAGATCCCCATTCTTCAGAGATAAGTTTTTTCTACAAGATAACACTGCGCTGGCCTACACGATTGCTACCTGCATATGTACCTTCCTGTCTTGTTACTTAGCATAGCTCTGCAGGGGGTTAGGCCCCTGCTTGTGCTCAGCCACGTTAAAGAAACAAAAACACACAATATTTACTAACTCATATATAGGGCAAGAGCAGCCTAGTTATGTCAAACAAACCTTCAAGCCATACTTAACCTTATTCTTTAATTCAACTGATTTTCAGCTTTAAGAACATGAAGATGAAGCCAGTGGGCAGTCCCAGCAGGACAGGGAAATACCAGAGAGCAGGAGCTCCACCTGCACGGGGACCCCACCCAGCGTCTGGAGCCAAATGCAGCCATTCCCGCGGCAAAACACACATTTGAAGAATTTTAAAACGCTTAACCTTGAAGGTGTTTTTGAATTTTTGAAGAAGTTGTCTGTGGCACTTATCTAGACAGAGGTGCAAAGCTGCATTGGGTGTAGCAGGGCGCAATTCACCCTAAGTGGCTAAAATACAGCTGAATACACCAAAAAAAACCCCAAAAAACAACACAACATATGAATATTAAATATGACACTCTCGCTGCTTTTCCAGGCCGGCAGCCCAGGCCGGGTCCCCCTGAGGCGGGAAGGGTCCGCTCCCCCACGGCCTACACTCACCCTCCTCCTTCTGCCGCTTCACCTTCTTCATGGCGGCCAGCAGCGCCCCGCACAGCACGAAGGTGGCCGCCAGCGACCGCCACGACACCAGCTGCTGAGGAGAAGCTGGTTAGTGACTGGAAAGGGAAGGTGAGGGGAGTGCTCAGCCCGTCCCGCCGCCCCAGGCTCCTCCGATGAGTTGCGGACGCGGCTCCCTCGTTCCCTCACTCACCCTCCTCTCCGCACCCGTCCGTGGGCCGCTGCCCGACGGCGGCAGCCGCCATAACAACGCGGCCCGCCAGTAGCACAGCGCCGCCATCTTGTGTCCTCCTCTTCCGCGCCCGCCCCTTCCGCCCTCCCCTCAGCCGGAAGCCGCCGCCGCCGCCGCTATGGAGGCGGTGCAGCCGCCACCGCCGCTATTCGCCTTCGGCGTCATCGCGGACATCCAGTATGCGGACGCGGAGGACGGCTACGACTTCAGCGGGTGCCGGCGGCGGTATTACCGGCAGAGCCTCCAGCTGCTGCGGGACGCTGTGGAAGCGTGGGCGGCTGAGAGGCCGCCGCTCGCCTTCGTGCTGCAGCTGGGCGACAGCATCGATGGCCTTAACGCCCGGCGCGGCGAGGCCGAGGGTGCCCTAGCGCAGGTGCTGGCAGCGCTGGAGCGGCTGCAGGTGCCGGTGCATCACGCCTGGGGCAACCACGAGTTCTATAACTTCAGCCGGGCCCGCCTGGCCCACACCGGCCTCAACAGCCGGCCCGATGGTGCCATGGCTGGCCCGACAGCTGGGGACTGCCAGGCCTATCACTTCAGCCCCGCTGTGCGGTTCCGTGTCGTGGTGCTCGACGCCTATGACCTGAGCATCCTTGGCAGGGAGTCGGACAGCCCCCGCTACCAGGAGTCCCTGCAGCTGCTGCGGGAGAAGAACCCCAACGACAACCTCAACAGCCCTGCAGGTACCCCCAGTTACAGCCTTTGCCAGGGAGCATGGACAGCTGAGTCTCCACTTCCCAGAGCTATATGGCAGCTCCTGGGGCTGACATCTGGTTCCCGGGGGGCTGAGGTGTGTTGCCATGTTTCTGCCCACCTCCTCTGCCTCCCTGCTATCGCCTGACTACGGTCAGTGGGTCTCTAAGCAGTACAGCAGATGCTTCCCCATCCCTGTCATGCTGCTCTGGTGCTTTTTGGTATGGGTTTATGTTGTGCTGCGTGCTCTGTGGTATCAGAGCAAAAGGCAGTTGGTGCAGCTGCTATTGCAAAGCACCAAGTGATGCCCACCCTATCCCATACCTGGGGAGGGACACAAGTGTGGAAATCCTGTGTGCGCAGTGTAACCAAAACTGAATCTTCTCTTGTTTTGTACAAGAAGGCTGGAATTTTGATCCAAGAGATGAAAAAGGGAAAGAAAAAAAAAGGTTATAAGAGTAAACCATCTATTGTAAGCAGACTTACATAAGGCAAGCAAATTGGGAAGCCACAAGAGGTGTATGCGCCTATGCCTAACTTTCTCTTATTCTTCATTGCAGGACTCAAAGAACCTCAGTTTGTTGAGTTTAATGGAGGATTTAGCCAAGCCCAGCTGGACTGGTTCAATGAAATCCTCAAGTTCTCTGATGAAAACCAAGAAAAAGTTATAGTTATGGGTAGGTAGATATGGGGGATATATGCAAAAAAGTAATTTAGCCAATGTACGTCAGCTGAGGAAAACATGTAGCAGCTTTGTAGCTCCACTGAGGTACATGTGTAACCTGTGAAGCAGAAGAGCAACCATGTCTCGCGCTCCGGTGAGCTTTCTGCATACAGTTGGCTGTCTGAGCTTCCCAGCAAGGAAGGCACAGCTTAGTTATGCTTAAAGTAATTCTGCTGCTTCTTTCCCTCTCAACTGCAGGTCACCTGCCCATTCATCCTGATGCTTCAGACAGAGTTTCCCTGGCCTGGAATTACGAAGACGCCCTTTCAGTCATACACTCCCATCAGAGCGTGGTCTGCTTTCTTGCAGGGCACCAGCACGATGGTGGCTATTGCTTAGACTCTCATGGAATTCATCATCTGACTTTGGAGGGGGTTATTGAAACCCCACCAGAAAGCAATGCCTTTGGAACTGTTTATGTCTATGAAGATAAAATGGTGTTAAAGGGAAGGGGCAGGATTTCAGAGAGAGTTATGCGTTTCTGGAGACAGTAAGCAAATACAACTTGCTTTTCTTCAGAAAGTACTCCAACGAAAGCAGGGGATTCAGCTTATTATTTGTTTGTACAAAGATGTGCATGGCTGATCCTTATAGCTTTAACTCAAACATTTTTCTCTCAGATACAGAATTTTAGAAATTACATTTCTATAAGAAAACAGGCCTGGTTTCTTCATGGAGAAGAGAGAAGGCCAGTAACCACATTTGAAATCAATATACTTGAATGTAGAATGTTGACTTGAAACACCCAATCCTGACTAGGTTGTTATTTATTGTGAAAAAATGCAAACCATATTACGAATGTCCACAGCAGTTGCCTCTGCTTCCTTGGCTGGGACTGACTGTCACTGGCTGCCTTGTGGGTTGTCCTGCTCTCGGGGGACAGAAACTCTGTGAGAGCAGAGCTGTGATCATGACCGTGTCTGCTGGTGGCAGTCTTGAGCACACATCTCACAGAAAATAAAGATACAGAAGCTTTCATTTAGAAAAATAGTATTTATCATTCTGTAAAACCAGTGATTTTCAGATAACAGCAAAAATATTTCTTCAGATATATTCTACCGTATGATTTTAGTGTAGGAACAGAAATACAGACAGCTGAATTTTTCAATTAGGCTCAAGGGACCATCCAGGCAAATATCTGCAAGTTTTATGGTTGTAAATAGTCATTTATTGAAACAAATGCTTTACTTTTCCCTTATGTTATAGAAAAGATTTCCCAAAGTTCAAGGGGGTTGGAGAGCAATCCAGGGATGCCAAGGTATCTTGAATATATCATTAGAACACACATTAGACCAACAGTGCTTTGAAAACGTATGAAGAAGGCAGCTTCTGAACAACAGTTTCCATAGAAAAATTCTCTACTCGGATTTGACGGTGTTCCTCAACTTTTTTAACAAATCTCCAATGACATTACTAGAAGCCACCAGGCAGTTTCGGGTCCTGTCACACTGACACTAACGTTTTATTAAGAACCAAAAGCAAAGGCAAGTAAGGTCAGAATATTTATTGTACGCTTTCTCCTACCCGCTTAAATCACTGTTTTACAGTGCGTTGGCCACGATGCTCGCATCTCTTTGTTCACATAAATGTACAGCCACGAAACAAAGGGGCAGAGGGTGACCACAACTGCTGCAATCAGGCGAACTCCACCCAGGGGACTCCTGTAAAGAAGCAAATCCATCAGAGCTCCTTCAGACTGCTGTGAAACACTCACAACCTGGCTGCGGTTGGAATGAGACTACATTCGCCGAAGACAACAGAGAGTCTTTGGCCACGTCGATGTAGCTCCCGTGGATGCTGCAGCAGAGTCCCTTACTGGAGAGGCACCTTGTGCCAGCAGAAGTGGTTTTTCTGCCACCTCAGGCTACATAAACCAGGTGAAAAAGAAGAGAAGCACCCTGCTGGCCCCAGGCCCCTGTGACGTGTGTTCCCAGCACAGAGGTCCTGTTCTGCAGGTTGGGATTTCTCACGCTCCCAGCTGACAGGAGTTCAGCAAAGCTGCTGGGGCACAGTCCTGGGGAGGCTGGAGCCCAGAGCCCTCTGCCAGCCCTGTCTGCATCACCCGCCTGCTCCGGTGGGCGCAGCCAACACCAGTACAGAGACCCTCACCAGAAAGTTCTGTAAATTGGGAGCAACGGCCAAAAAGGCTTTGCAGTTCATTAGCAGTTGTGGCCAACGCTCATGAGCCTGCTCAACAGAAAGGGGGCAAAGGGAGAATGTCCCCTGCCCATTATGGCAGGGGGAGCAGAAAAAAGTTTCGTGTAGTTTTACTTACCCCCCACAGACTTTTATCTGTGCAAGATATACAGGCTGTAGCAGCAGCTACTACTGCTTAGGTATCTGAGAAGGTTCAGACAGTGAGGAGAAGCAGAAAAACAAGCAGCATAAATCAACTCTGTGTTTTCAAGAAGCAGGTCACTAACTGTGAACATATGACTGGATTAAAGAAAGAGGAAACAAAACTTACTTTGCTGAACTGCGACAAAGACTCATCCATATTGTAATAATCACCAGACCAAATAACTCTCTAAAAAGCCAAACAAAAAAACAGATCAGAAAATAATACAAGCAGATGTTTACTTTTAAAAAATACAGATTTTGCCTCCAGAACAGTAGTGTAAGTATGCACTGCCTCCTTTTGGAGAAGTTCAATATATTTTACTAGGACTATAATTATAAAGGTATTTACGTGGTATAAATTGGCCTCTCACCACAAATCTGTGAACACACATGACCTGACTATACAGCTGCAGAAATTCATGCTTCCAATCTTTGTTCTGCTGCTAAACTTACATTCCACAGCCCATTTCCCCCATTAACACAGAGCAAAGCAGCTTCAGACCGTGAGGAGCCACAGCAGCTGCCAGCGCTGCCCCTCCATACTGCGCAAGCGCCTGCTTCAGGCAGCAACCGAATGAGAATCCTCCCCTGCAATTGGGAGACTCGCAGCCCATGCTGCGATATCGTGCATATGGTATCACCTCCAGAGTTTTTAAACGTTAATTCCCATTCCTACAGCTCCAGCAAGAGAACATAGAGCTGTCTCGTTGTGCTTGTGCCCTGACCTTTGAAAGCCAGAACTGCCCCCGCTCAAATCTAACTGCTGCGATCATCAGTCACGACTGTTCACTCGCCCTTCAGCAGTTCTGTCCAACAAATCGCTGGTTTGGAGCACTATGGTCCCTCCTCCTTGGTTTGTTTCCCCCAGGATCTGCAGCACTCACTGACACAACCCAACAAATCCAGTTTAGAAAGGTGACCAGGCGGAGAGAGCCTGGCGAGTTGAATTCCTGCAGGGCAAAACAAAAGTCCCTGCTTACCTGCCTTCCTCTTCCTGCAAAATGTTTCCTTGAGCATAGGCAAACAAAGAGCAAGCCAAGGCAATAGTCCCAACAATACAACCAGCAGAATGAAGGTCACAGAGGCTCTTCCAAACACTATTATCTGAGGAAAAAAAAAAATAGACCGCCAGCAATTGTGACGTAGCATGAAATACAGCCTAGAAATGAAAAAGCAACTGAGTTGCTAAAAAAGATGCCTCCAGGAAACACAAATCTTGGGCAAGAAGGTGGAATTTAGACCAGTGAAAGCTGCTAAAATGTGCTGTTGAAAATAAACACTAGTGGGCTTGGGGCTTGCTATGCCAGGAACGCAACTTCTTGGCAGCAGCACCTCAATGAAAAGCTTCCTGTTCTCTCCAGCAAACAAAACAGGCTCCAGCATTCAACAGGCATGGAAAAAAAATAATCACAAAGTGGATTACAACTGAAAGGTCTCTTAAGCAGGAGGAATGGCCTTTCCGGAGCTCACAGCCATAACCAGACGTTCAGCGTGACCCAGGGGACCACCAGGGCCCGGGGAGGGAGCCCAGCTCCCAGCCAGCCATTGGGCACCAGGCCACCACCCCCCTGCAGGAGCATCTTCCCTCACGCTCCCCTGGAGCCTCTGCCTGAGCTTTGCCTGTGACAATGAGCAACACCAATGGCATCTCTACCCAGGGACTGATGTTTTCAAACAGACAAATACAGATGATGTGAAATATCTCAGTGGGCCCACAGATGCTTGTGGTTTCCCATGTCCATTCCCAGGGGTTTGTTGGGGAGAGGTGAGCAAACGACACGGGTACTTCTCGCTCATCTCAGCAATGTCAGCATAAAAAAATGTAAAGTACAAAGCAGACATTTCTGAGCAGTGACCCTCCAGTCAAGCAGAAAAGATGATGAGCTGCCAAAATTCAGGAGCTCAGCATGACCCAATGGTGTACTTGATTCCCCATGTGGCTGAACTTACTGCAGCTCAGCAGAGGCAGAATCTGGGTCTTCCACAGACCCGAACGGCAAATACCCCTTAGTGAATTTACAGAGATGTCCAGTTCTACAATAGCTGTGCTATTTTAATCTTTATTTTCCACAGATCTCGGCACAAGTAACAAAAACCTATTTGTGAATTGAACATGGAGATTCTCCTGACCAGCGAAACACCCTTATGTCAAAGCTACACCCATCACACAAATAACCCCCCCCGAAATGTTCAAAACCAGGGTCAACAAAACCCTCATGGGCTCTGGCTTTATGAATGCAACCACTCTATATGTGCCAGTCAGCCAGAACGCTGAGAGACTGCACCGGTGAGATGTGTGACAACAGCATGCATGTGGGGGGAACTGCTTTTTTGGCTAAGTGTGGGTTTAGTTTATTCAGAGTAAGTATACATCCAGAAAAGATACAGTCACTTTGTGTATATAAAATGGCATTATTTTACAGTTATCTCTACTGGATGAAAATATAAAAAGTGAACTATTTTCTGGAGTTCTGTACCAAATCTGATCTGCCAGATTCTCTCAAGGTGTGATGTGGCCTTAGCCCCCCTGGCACGCGCACTTGGAAACTCAGGCACCGCACCAAAGCCTCTACAGGTCCCCGTCGCTGCCCATGCTGGAACACCTCATACTCAGCAGGACCTTCAGCTCTTTCAAAGGACTGTGCAAGGCTCAACTGCTCCTCTATGAGGTAGATAAGCAAAATGTGCTAACATCAGCAACAGAGCCAGGTTTGCAGCACGCTCCCAGGCCTGTGCTGCACTCAGGCTCTGGACCCAGGGTGCAGAGGTCCATCCAGCAGAAGGCCTCCACGCAGGGCTCCTCTGTTCAGCTGCAGCATGGCCTGCCATGAGCACTAAACCAGGGACCAGCTTCTGTAGAAGCAGGTCTCACAGCTTTCTGCCCTCAAAAGATAGCAGGACGTGTTACCATGTGGCCTGATCTTAGACTGTGATGCAATTAAAAAAAAAAAACAAACCTCTTGGAGGCAAAATTTAAGCAAAGACTCTGTTTTGGACACCAATATCATACCTGTTATTGAGGGCTTAATGCTGACAAGCAGCGTCAGGGCAGCTGGCACCAAGTAGACAACCTGTTAATGAGACGTAAGTCTGCTCTGTAGCAGAGTTTAGCAGGGTAAGGAAGCAGCAGCCCCATCCACATGGATGCCTCTTCCTTCACAGCAGTTTGTCAGAAGCACAGGACAGCCACCAGCCCCAGTCCTTCTGGCACCTTCTGGCACCACCAGCGTCCGTCTTAGAGCCACAGAATGGTGTGGATTGGAAGGGACCTCGAAGATCATCTCATTCCAACCCCCCTGCCCTGGGCAGGGCCACCTCCCACCAGACCAGGTTGCCCAAAGCCCCATCCAACCTGGCCTTGAACCCCTCCAGGGATGGGGCAGCCACAGCTTCTCTGGACAATCTGGGCCAGGGTCTCACTGCCCTCAGAGTGAAAGATTTCTTCCTGAGTTTTTGTCTCAATCTCCCCTCTTTCAGTTTAAAACCATTCCCTCTCATCCTATGACTCCCCTCCCTGATCAGGAGTCCCTCCCCATCTCTCCTGCAGCCCCTTTAGGGCCTGGAAGGGGCCGGAGGCTTCTCTTCTCCAGGCTGAACCCCCTCAACTCTCTCAGCCTGTCCTCACAGCAGAGGGGCTCCAGCCCTCCCAGCATTTTCACCATCACCACCCCAAACCCTGGGCCATCAGCTGAGTGCCAGTCTTTGCTCCTCAGCTTCTGGGTTACCAAGTCATCGCTGCCCAACCGGCCCCTGCAGAGGCCCTGACCTGCATCTTGATCCCCCAGGGAAAGCCTCTATGGGGCACCCCCTCACCCTCAAACCCTCCACCCGTTCTGAGCTGGCTCCCCTAGGCGCAAGAGCACCCTTTGCTGCCGCAGCCCAGTGGGATCATCCTGTACAAGGGATCTTCCCCGGCACAAGGGATGTGAAGGGACTGGCCCCTGCCCACCCAGCAGCTCCTGCCACAGACAGAGCCGTTCCCTCTTGCCCCCCAGCTCCAAGGCCCACACGCAGTGGGCCAGCCCCACCGGGCTGTTCGGGTGCCCGAGAAAGGGCTGGCAAAGCGGAGAGGGAGAGGGTTTGTCTCCAGATTTCCCCGCCAGAGCGAGGAGACCCTGCCGAGCTGAGCGGTGGCGGGAGGCAGCCCAGCCGGTGGCTCAAGGCAAGCAGAGGTGGCCGTGGGGACACGGGCCGGTCGGGGGAGGCTGGGGCCCGGAGCTGGGCGGTGGAGAGGAGTTTGGGGCCTTCTGCACAGGGAACCACCGCTCTGCCGGGGTAGAACACGGGAGGTCCTGGAAGCAGGCTGGGATTCCGGCTGTAGCTGCAGCACAGACGGTGTTCCCGGTGCCTGCTCGCTCCTCGGCCGAAGGCAGGCGGTTTCCTCCGGCGGCCCCGGGTGGGACCAGGCGCCTGCGGCGGAGCGGGGCCGGGGCCGGCGGGGCCCCCTGGGAGGGGCGGTGTAGGGCGGTGAAGGGCCGCCCCCGGCGCCCGCCCCGCTCCGGTGGCCCGTACTCACTGTCCACAGCGCGGCGTCGGGGTCGTTCACCTGCAGCCGGGAAACGGGCACTGAGACCGGCGGCCGCCGCCCGCCCGGGGCCGCGCTCCGCAGGAGGGCACGGCGGGGGAGCGGGGCAGGCCCCCCCCCAGCCCGGGCCGCCCCGCCCTCACCTGCACGGCGGCCGCCAGCCCGAAGAAGGCGGCCATCAGCAGATTGCAGAGCCGCCACAGCCCACCCGCCATGGCCGGCACCGCCGCCGCCGGGACGGGACGAGGCGGGGGCTCCGGGGCCGGAGGCGGAGCCGCGGGACAGGGCGCGGGGCGGAGCCGGGCTCCGGGGTCCCGCCCGGTGGTGCCGGGTCCCGCAGCTCCTGCCGGGGGACGCGGGTCGGCGCAGAGGCGGGGGGCGCGGTGGGGCCGTGGCTGCTGAGCCCGGGTCGGTCACAGCTAGTGGTACTTTAGAGAGATTGTTAGAGACTGAAAAATAGCTGTTTTCAAAATGGAGCCAAAATCCAGAGTTATGGAAAGACATCGAGGTGCTGGAGCGGGTCCAGCGAAGGGCAACAGAGCTGGTGAGGGGTCTGGAGCACAGATCTTGTGAGGAGAGGCTGAGGGAGCTGGGGGTGTTCAGCCTGGAGAAAAGGAGGCTGAGGGGAGACCTTCTTGCTCTCTCCAACTCCCTGAAAGGAGGGTGTAGCCAGGGGGGGTCGGTCTCTTCTCCCAAGGAACAGGCCATGGGACAAGAACCAGGGGAAGTTTGGATGAATATTTGGGAAAATTTCTTCACCAAAAAAGTTATCAAGCCTTGGAAGAGGCTGCCCAGGGCAGTGGTGGGGTCACCATCCCTGGAGGTATTTAAAAGCTGGGCAGATGTGGTTCTGAGAGACATGGGTTAGTGGTAACTCAGCAGTGCCAGGTTCATGGTTGGATTTGATGATCTTTCAAGGTCTCTTCCAACCAAGACAATTCTATGATTCTATGAAATTAAGCAGTGCTAGCTACAATGTGTGTATTCCAGTAATTACAGGAAAGCAAGGGTTGTTCTGTCTTCACCGGTTGCATCACCAGTTGTATCACTGGTTGTATCACACAAGCCAGTCTGCACATAAACGGGTTGTCCATCAGTGAGCTCCTCAGGCAAATAATTCCAAGTAGGTCCTGGGCTCCATGAAGAGAAGCGTGACCAGTACATTGCAGGGAGTTGTAATTCCCTCTTTGACCCTGTGCTGGTGTTCCTGCAACTTTCAGTCCTGCCCAGGGACCCCCTGAAGAAGGATGTGGAAAACCTGGATTGAGGTTCTGCAGATGGTAGCCAGGATGGTCAGGAGTTCAGAGAACATGGCCTCTGAGCAGAAGTGGGCAAAGAGGAAGCAAAATCCAGTAATACCGTGTAACTGACTGTGCAGGGGCCGCAGAGATAACAGAGCCACATTTTCCTTTCTGGCATCAGGTGATATACCAAGGGGCAGCGGCCACAAATGGTTTCTTGGAAGGTTTTGACTGGACAAATATCCTCATCAGGAGGGTTGTGCAGCCTGCAGCAGGTGACCCAGACAGACTGTGTAATCTCCCTCCTTGGAGACTTCCAAGGCTTATTGAGGCAAAGTTCATCTGATCTGATGTGACAGTCTTGCTTCAAGTGGGCTGCTGGACTCAAGACCTCCAGCTATGCCTTCATAGCAACATTTTCATCTTTCTGTGGTAACTCATGTACTTGAAAGAGAATTCCCTCTTTGTCTCAGTGAATACACGTGAACAAACTTGTGCTGGAGAACTGGCAAGCAGTTACGCAAAAGTATGAGCCTCTTGCGAGGGGCCCCACGGCCCCTGACCGCGCGGCCGGAGGAGCTCCTATCTCCAGCTCCGCCACAGCCTGCCCTGGGTTGGCCCTTGGAACCTGTGATCTAGTCCTTGGCCCATGGGCTGACTTCCCAGCTTGCCCTCAGAGCTGCCTCATCACCATGGATCTCACTGGCCAGCACTGGGCGATGTTTGGTGCTGGTCTTATCCTGACCCTGGCCCATAGGTTGACTTCTCAGCTTGACCTCAGGCTTGCTTTTTCTCCACAAACTTGGCTGATGGTCTGGGCTCTCTGCTGGATCTGGCTGCAGCCCCTCCGCCTGCACTGCTTGCCCCATGCCAGGGTGGTGGGACGGGCATTGGCCATGGTGTCTCCCAGCACCCGTCCCTTAGGCAGCAGCTGGCCCTCACTGCTCCCTGCCAAGCTCCTTGAGCAGTTTGGGAGGTGCGTGCTGGTGGCCGGGGGGTGGGAAGGTGGTGTTGGGGCAGCAGGGAGGGCTGGGGTGCAGAGCCCGGGGGCAGACTGGTTGAGGCTGAGAGGCTGTGGAGCTGCACTGTCTGTCACCACGGGGGCTGATGGGGGTGGGACATGCCTCAGCACGGAGAGTCCCTGGGCAGGGGTTGGGAACAGTCTGGATGGGAGGATCAGATAGTGATGGTGACAGTGCTGGGCAGGGACCAATTGTTACTGCTATTCTGAGGGATACCTGAGGTCAGGCAGGACTATGCAAGACTAGATATTCATTTTTCAGCATCGGGAAGGCAAAATGAGGACCTACTGCAAATCCTGCAGTTTGTGTCAAAACTGACTACGAGCAGGGAGGTTTTGACTGAGTTTCTGTCCAGTCTGTCCTCACAGCCAAGAACCGTCCTGTTTGGTTGCGAAGGACATTATGAGCCCACCGATATCCACCCACATGGGAGAGAGATTTTGGCAGTAGATATCTGAAAGTGTTTTTTCTCTACCATGGAAATCAGTAAGCTGCCTGAGAGTTGGCACAGCAAGAGAGAAGGAACCATTTCCAGAAAGGCCTCCTGTCACTTGGTGAAAGTGAGCACCCCCAGGATGCCCAATGAGCTTGTCGCAAGTGTCTTCTGTCGCCCCAGGGCCATGAACAGAGGTGGCACTGGGTGTCACAGCTATGCCAGGGCTGGGAAATTTGGAGATGTTGAAGACCCGTGGGTGTGGGGGAGGAGTAATGAGTCAGGGGTAAGAGGAGACTTCTTTCTTTTCCTTGCCAAGAGATTGAGATTTAAATGGAAATTTTTGTAATGACTCAGTGGTCCAGGATTAGTTTTGTATTTAAGAAGAGATTCGGCCTTTTTGTGTTGTCTGGAGAACAAAAAGGAGAACCCAGCAGAACAGTCCTGCTTCATCATTCGCCTATCATTTATGACCGAAAGTGATAATTAAAGATGAACCAAAGGTGGACCCTTTGGCAATGTTTTATCTACCACATCCATCAACCAAACCTGAGTCTCTGTTGGGTCATTTCTCCCACTGATTTCAGTAACAGCATAATAAAGTCCCCTAGGACTAAATCTTGCTGAACTGTTGTGCAGAGGACGTGTGAATGTGTCCCCATTTGCGGAGAGGATTAATGCTCATCTCTTCTTATTTTCAACTGAGTCTTTCCTCAAGTGGGTTATGAGAGATGAAATTACTGCGGAGAAAGTCGCAGAGAAGTAAGAGCCATCTTTGTAAAAGGCTGCCATTGTTACAGCTCCACTGAGTAGGCTTTATGCTTCACAATAATTGTGTTATTCTGTACATTAAACAACTGCTGGCAGCTGCGGGCAGAACAGCAGGCCACGTTCACTATAACTAAATCCCTCCCGACATTTAAATTTATTCCCATTCCCATCCCGAAGCCCAGGAAAAATTAAACCACTCTATACAGGCACCCTTAAGAGTACAGCTCCTGTTCACAAGTCCTCTGGGAAGGGACTGCAAATGCTTTAAGGAAAGCTGGGGAACTACACGCTACAGTTTGTTGTCCTCTTACCAAACTCAGCTTTATGCATGGATTAGCAAGAGCAACAGTCCAAACGTTCCTGCAGTTTCTCAGCAGGTCCCCATGGAGCTGCACGCCCTTGCTGGGGCACCATGGGCTGCACCACGCTCCTGGTTTGGGTGTTTTAAGGAGGCAGGAGCTCACTGGAGAGCACTCACCACCCATTTGTCTTTGTAGTGTAACCTCCATCCCCAGATCTTCTGTCCCTTCCCCTCACCTCAGAAGGAGCAGAGCTCAAGTAATGAACCCAGTAATGTGTTTGCGTGATTAATTGCTTCCAGGCTTCGTTTCCAGGTCCAAGATAGGCTTTTGAATGTATTTTCTAAGGCAGGGGAGGTATCTCAAGCTAGAAAATGGAAGTGTCAAGGATTAAAAAGTAACAGTGGCGTTAAGAAGAGAGAAGAATGTAAGAGACTGTGTTTTTCATTAGAGTAATATATAGAATAGAAAAGAAAACTCAGCTGTGACGAACTCCATGGCTCTTTCACTCATCTGGTCACAAGGTACTGCACAAACCCACAGCCCTCCTGTGGCTGTGCTGCTCGGTGCTGGGAGAGCAGCTGGGAGAAACTGGTGGAGACTGGGAGAGAGGCAAAGCAACAGCTGGGCAGGCTCTGCGTGGGGTGGGACAGGACTTCTACTGAGGGGAAGGGGCTGGCAGAAAGCAGCTTCTCCTAGTGTTACGGTTTGAGAAAACCCGTAACAATCTATTGTCGTTTAGACAATTATTTTATCACCCGATGACCCCTCCCCACCCGGAAAGGGGAATCGGGGAATACAAGGAAACACAAGGATTGAAATATAAATAGATTTAATAGACTAAGACTAAAAAATCAACAATAATACTAAAGAAACAGTATTAATCCCAATACTGATATAAGATATAAAAGAATTATACTCAGCCCATTCTCTCAGCAGGAAGCCGTGCACTCCCAGCAGGGACAGCAAATGGCGGACACTGCCAGCGCAATGGCTTCAGGAGGAAGGGAAGGCCTCAGGGCTCCGGCACCAGGCAAGGAGTTGTCTGGACCCGCCGCCATCAAGGGAGAGAGAGATACGCAGCAAACTTTTCTAATTTATATTGAATGTGCCGTTCATGGTATGAAATAATCCTGTTGGCCAGCCTGGGTCAAATGCCCAGGCCTTGCTCCTCCTTGTCCCTGCACCTGGCAAGGCTTGAAAAGACTAAAACCTTGAATCCCACAGAGCCTGGCTGGCTATCAAGTAAATATTTTCACAAATTCAGACACTAGAGTCTTCTAAAAGTGCCATTTTCCCCAGCATTAGAAGAAAAGTTAGTCCTGTCTCTCAACCCAGGACACCTGGGCACGCGGGGGGGATGGTATGGAGGGTTTGGCAGCTTTGTTAGTGAGCAAAGTCCAGAGGCTCAGGAGCAGGAGAGGGCAAAAGGCCGGTTGTCTCCCATGAGGATGGGGGGGAAAGAGGGGATTGTTTTACCAACCGTGGCATCTGTATCTGTCTGGTTCTCTGTTGCTCTAATTCCAAAGCAATCCAGCTGTAGTATATATTTTAGAAATAAAAAGAATTTAGAGTGTTTGCTGTTCTTACTGAAAATAAAAGGTCGAGGCTATTGACTTTAAAGCTTTACCAACTGTCACAAGCACTTCCCACAACCACCCCTCTCCAGGGACAGAGGAGACTCAGTCTGAAGAGTCTCCAGCAATACTGCTTTCTCCCGTAAGAGGGAGGCGAAGAACATTTAGTGCCCTTGAATATAATTAGAGCTACTTGAAAATTAGTTCCTCAATATTAGATAAAACATTTTCCCTCCTTATTCCTCTCTGGAGTCTGCTACTTTGCCCTCAGAAGCCCAAGCTTATCTTCAGTTCAGCAGCTCCTCCTGGAAAGGCCAGAAGCTTCAGAGGGGTCTGGAGCACAAGTCTTGTGAGGAGAGGCTGAGGGAGCTGGGGGTGTTCAGCCTGGAGAAAAGGAGGCTGAGGGGAGACCTTCTGGCTCTCTCCAACTCCCTGAAAGGAGGGTGTAGCCAGGGGGGGGTCGGTCTCTTCTCCCAAGGAACAGGCCATGGGACAAGAGGAAACAGCCTCAAGTTGCACCAGGGGAGGTTTAGGATTAATATTGGGAACAATTTCTTCACCAAAAGGGTTGTAAAGCCTTGGAAGAGGCTGCCCAGGGCAGTGGGAGTAGCCATCCCTGGAAGTATTTAAAAGCCGGGCAGACGTGGTGCTGAGGGACGTGGGTCAGTGGTAACTCAGCAGCACCGGGTTCATGGCTGGGTTTGATGATCTTAAGGGTCTCTTCCAATCATAACGATTTTAAGATTCTAAATAAGAGTATCACTGGGATGGATGCAGCAGCCAAGCTGTGATATTGGGAGAGCCAGGCTGCTTCCCAAGAGCCTGTACCAAAGATTTACTGAAACACTGCCAAAGACACCCACCCCAGGGACCCACTCCATAATGACACTCATCCCGGTGGACACTGATGATGCTGCCATGAAGGACCACAGATTGGTTTTGATCAGATCAAAGCTGGTTCAGAGGTTCCTGGCGGCTGGTGAAGGGCTCAGGGCTTTGCTGTGTGTCCTGGCCCTAGGACCCCGACTGCAATTCAGATGGGGACATGCGGGAACAATGCAGGGTTACACAGCTGATAGAGCCAAAAGGGCTTTGGTTTTAGTTTCCTCCACAGGTGGGTCAGGAGCCATGAGCAGGACAGGATGGAGCCCACCTCACTGAGAAGGGGAGGAGCCCCACGTTACCCGATTTACTGCCTTTGGGGGATACACATCTGAAGTGTTCAAGACCTCCTTCTCCTCCTCATTATTATAAATCTATATTAACAACCTTCTTCCTGCCTCATTAGTTCTATAGAGCTCACTCAAGTAGATCTTGTTTATGCTTTCTCAGCTGCTTTCTTTAATCCTAATTTACAATCCTTCTCAATTCCTAGAAAAGTTCTGGAACAACTTGTTAAACAAGGCACTTGTTTGCACCCAAAGTACGACAGGATAGACAAGAGCCACCATGGACTCGTCAGGAGCAAATGCTGACAAACCAGTCTAGTGTGGCACAAATTTTTCGGCATAAAGTGAAAAGTAGTAGATGTCACATATGTTGACCTCTCTTAAGGAGATACGACCACACATGAGATAATTGTACCTCAAGTGCTAATTATCAGTAGTTGTCAAAATGGAAGGACATATTGAAGGCATTTTTTCCCGAGTCCATTCTGATGCCAGATCTTTTTTAATTACTTCAGTTAACAGCCTGGATGATTAACAGCCACGATTGCCTTATTAAACCTGCAAATTACTCCAGGCTGTGAAAGACGGCAAAGACAACGGAACTCAGCACTAGAGTGACAAATGGCCTGAAACCGCTGAGGGAGAATCCAACAGGTACAACTTCAAGCATAACCTTTATGAACAGTGAGCAGCAAAGACAAGTGAGGGAACAACCAGGGGGATGCAGTTTTTCACAAAAGAGTCCGAGGTGTAATGGAGAGCAAACGGAACACCAGCAATGGGAAAGGCACCACGCTAGAGCCTGTGAGCCAGCGGTGGAGCCCCCCAGGCCCGCTGGAGTGACATGCCTAGCTGGGGACACTGCACTTCAAAACTACAGATCAACAGAAAAAACAAGTCAGAGGGGGTCAGTGAGGAGGCTGGGAGGCACAGAAAACGTGAAGAATCGAGTTGATGTAGTCTGTAGTAGAGAAAGCGGGAGCGAGGAGGGGAAGGGAAACACCACTTTCATCAAGTGCCTCAAGAGGTCATTTCAAAGGCCATGGCCCCAGCAAGCAGCACAGGACAGAAAGGATTTCAGCTCAGACAAAAAAGCTTAAGTTAGGCTTTCAGATAACGTCAGGATAGAAGTGTGCCAGAACAGATTGCTGGGGGATGGCACAATCTCCACAATTGGAGGTCTTTAAGAGCAGGTTTCACAAACATCTGTCAGGACAGGTAGTGTTGATCCTCCCAGATTTGCAGGGGGGAGAAGGATAAAGAGTATGATTTTACGTAATTGTAAGCAAACCACAGGCAGGTGGCACGAGGCGGAGGCCAGCATTTGCAACCAGCGCTGGGTTTCTGCATCGTAGCCTGCAAGATGCCAGCTTTGGACCTGTGCGCTCGGGTAAGGCTGGAGTGAGAGGGAAGCGAAAGGAAAGTTGTGGAACTAGGGGTGGGGGGAAGGTCTTTTGTGTCAGGACCTGGACTACATCTCCTCCTCCCCTCCCCCCCCAGGTTTAACTCTCATCATTTCAGGCGTATTGCTGGTAAGAGCAAGCAGTTTAATAAGCATCAGGTGGATTTGGAGCACTTTGAAGAAAAACTGGGAGAAGCACTCTTCACTCTTTCCCTTGGGAGCTGTTTTTAGCCAAAGCTTTTACTTTGGTCCCCACCTAAACTACATGAGAGCTGTGCCTGGCCGTGTCCTGGGGCCATTAGCCAGAGACTGCCCTGGGACTTGACTTAACCTCAGACCTGCCTTGTTGCAGGAGACTTGTCTGGAGTCCAGGCTGAACCTGGTTCCTGCCATGGCACCTGCCCTGCCTGGGTCTGGGGTCTTGCTGCTGAGGCTGCTGCCCGTCCACTGTGTGATGCTCCACTCCACGCAGAACAGCCATCCTTGATGCTCCCTGGTGTTCAGTAGGTAGAGATAAGGGGTTGGGATCCCACTTTGTGCTAGGCAGTGAGGTGTCCCATGTGGGAATATGGGAGAGAGGATAAGGGGACACCTTCACCTGGACACGTGTGGTCGTGCTGCTGCATGTGGGGTCTGTGGCCTCTGTTACAGGATCTGCCAGGGGCTGGCGCTGATTGTTACCACCCATGGTGCCCACAAAGACCACATTCAAGAAGGGCTGTTCTTGTGGGTGCAAATGCTTCCTGCTCCTCTCCAACCAAAGTGGTGGGTTTGAAAGACAGCGCAGGGTAGCAGCCTAAGTTCAAACCTAGCAAATAGGTTACTGGGATTTTGGGCTGAGTGCTTGAGGTGGTGATGGTGTTCCCCAAGCCAAAAGAAAACTGCGTCCCTGGCAGGGAAGAATATGACTTTGCTGCACTAGCAGCAGTTGGGAGGATAGAGCAGAAAGAGGGAGGTAGTCAATACCAGCTCTGTGCCTTTCTCCCACCTCCTGACAAAGGTGAGCTCTGTGGAGCATGAGATACAATTCTATGATTCTATGATATTCCCCGAAGAGCAGCATTCGAGCAGAAGGCCAGGCTCCTTTTGTGCCCCAGAGACTACTGCTTGGGTCTCAGCCCATCACCCTGAGCCCACATGCAGCTGAGCAGGGAAACCAGAAAACTCTAGGATGGGAGAAGATGCTTTCCCAAGCTCAAAACACAAGAGGAAAGAAAAATCTTGGCCTTAACGTGAGGCACAATAAATAAATATGAGCTGAGTTGGTAGAGACAGAAGAAAAAATGAAGGTCAGAAAGGGAGGCAGCTCTTGCCCCAGATCTCTTTCCCCATTGTATCTGCACAAAAGGTGAGGGTTGTGAGCTTCTGGAAGCACATACAGTGCATTTTCAGGACTTGAGGTGTTTGCTCCACCACCACCTTCGCAAGAAGCATGAAGAAGCCTGGGCAAAGGAGGAGGGAGAGCCTGCATGCTGCTGTCTAGCTCTCTGTCATCAGTGGATCTCAGCTCATAAAGGAGGTCAATATTATTTCTGTTACATAGATGAGGAAATGAGGACTCTTGTAGGTGGACTCACCCAAATCATGCAGTGGGCTGGAGAGAGAGCCCACGTCTCTGGGGGACCCATTTCGCTGCTCTAATTCCTGGCACGTGCTGTCCCTACGAATAAAGGCTGTAAGTTCGCTGGAGTTAGAGGTTGGATAAGAAATAATGTGCTGGAATGAACTGCAGTGCTTAAGGGAGGAAAGAAAAAGTGGAGGAGACTGATGGTGGCAGAAGAGGATGATGCCCTGGGCATCGTGGAAACCAGAGGAGGAAGCTGTGCCGTGGGCAGGGAAGAGGTCCCGGGGAAGACATGAGAAGTTTGCAAGTAGCTGCTTGAGTGGGAGGAGAAGCCATGGGCGAAGACGAGAAACGGGATAACACAGCTCGGACCAGCTGTCGGCCCCCGGGGCCGCTCCCGGAGCTCGCAGGTGGGAGAGGCGGGGGAGCGGACCGGGCCCCCCGACCCGGGGGCTGCCGGGGCCGGGCACACCGCGGCGGGGACTCCGGGAGGGGGCTGCGGGCGAACGGAGTGGGCCATAACCCCCCC